GCAATGGGTGCAAAGACAGAGATAACTGAAGGTGATTCTAAGTTATAGTTGGGAAAAGGGACCTGAGGGTCTCTGCTAATTATCTGTCTTCTCATCTAACATGAGCGAACAAGTATATTTCCCAATCATTAGGATTAATGATTATTACCAGACAGTGTGAAAAAAAGGACACCTGATTGTGTGCCCATTGAACAGTATTACGCACATTAGCTGTCACTGAAACCATGCTAACCTGTACTGGAATAGCGTAGGTGAGCTGTGTTGACAGCAGTCCAGTGACACACTGAAAACTCATCTGCCAGATGGCTCAGGGGGAGGGCTTCAACCAGGGAGAACTTTAATCAATCTGATTAAGGGGAAATGCTGCCTGTATTTTTAGCCACTCCATGGCAGACCAGTGGTCATTCATTGAATTCTGTTTTATTAGCTCTCATGTTTATCTCTTGGATGGGTAGATTTATAAACAGGGACTGAACTAAAGTTGGACCTAGAATAAAGTAACCATTGGCTAGTTTAACTAATATGGTTGTTTTGGTCATTTATTTATGAATAAGAGCAATAGTCACTATATTGTTCCAATAATAAGGGCTTCATGTATGACCTGACTGCTGAAACTGACAAATTACAATTGGTCTTGGACTAGGGTAACTTATTGTTTCCAGGGCTGCAGCCTGGGCCACTGACCGGATGCTGTTTAATGCCAAGTAGCAACATGACCTTAATATGAAAATCCCCAAAGATATGCTTCCACAGACTCGGGGAGATTCCAGTAAATTCCTCTCAAACTTAAAACATTCCAAATGTTGATGGTTATTTGGTCCCAATATGAATATGGTGTTATTTATCAGTTGAATTTTAATTTGAAAGGTATTTTTTTGTTTTATCCCTAAAAGAAAAAAACATTCCGTACGTATCACAGTAGTGAAGTAGCACTTAAATCTGGTTCAAACTAAGAGATGTCTGTTCTGTGGAATAGGTTGCAGTGCAAACATTATAGAAAGCTCCTGCTGGCTCCAGACAATTCCTGCCTCAAACATGTGTTCTGTGGCCAGCTGTCTACTCTTTTTCTGGCATGACTGATTATTTTAACTGATGCAATAAGGAAAGTCAGGAAAACTATCCCAGATAGATAAAAAAAATACACAGTTAAACAGCACAGAGATGTGTAATAATGGTAAACAAGAATTTAATGGAAATTGAATGCTGGAATTTTAAAGATATGATGCAAAAGAAAAACTATGTATACTGTATTACTCATAATAAGATCATAATAAGAACATCTATGTCATTCTGCATCTGTCATCATTTGTTATTTCCTCTTCTTTCTTTAGCCAACGCAAAATGTGCATGATGTCAGTAAGTGGTTTACAGTATAGTATGCACCATCTCATATTTACACACCAAGACTGTGTAAACAAACACCCTTCCTGTCTTTGACAGATTAGGATGTAAGCCCTCATGCAGCTCTGAGAGATGTGCCTCGCCCTGACTCACAGAGTCCCAGCTGGTTGCCTTTTTGTTTTTTTTGAATCATTATGCTTTGCAAATTTGTAGCTATGTAGTAAAAGTGTATAGTAGGAGTTCAAACTGGTACTGTGTACTGAATTTAAAGGTGGCTGAGTGTGTGTTTGTGTGGATGCAGGTGCTTGCATGCCTCTGGGACCTTCAAATGCTCCATCACAGTTGTGTTTTCTCTAATGTGGGACAGTGGGGAGTTGCCTGGAAAACACCTGGCCATACGAGGCACTATGTTCTGGAAAGCCTGAACCTTTGCAGTGTTTATAAAGTATTACTCATCCCAAATAATTATAAATTAATGCTCAAAGATTATGAAAGACAGAGAAACGGTGAACTCTTATAGTTCATAATCAGACATGAGTACATCACATCACTTATGTAGAAATTATTTGCAGATGTGTGTGTATGTGTCTGTTGGAAGGTGTTGGGTTGCATGTGTGTTACATTTCTGGCATTAACACCTGTCATTAGCATTATGTGATTGAAGGTTAGTTGGCTTGGGGAGTGGCCATGTGTCATTTTGGAGAAATTCACACTCCACACTGCTCCATTTTAATTTGGTGAGTGCATAAGAAGTGTGGCTTTGTTGTCTCAAGGCAACCATGAAATCAAGTGATGTCAGTTAGTTAATGCCATTAGCTAAGTAAGGAAGAAACTCTCATTTCAGTCATCATTCTCCAATTCACCCACTGGCTTCTAAAGAGTTTTTGCTGACCTTTCCTGACCTTTAAAATATCATGTGATTTACGTGATAACTCAAAATTAACCTTAGATAAAATTATGAGATTTTCACTGACAGCAATATTAGATGTTTGCCCAGTTATTTACATTGAAGTTGGCATGTGTGCATTTGTATCATGGCCCCTGCTGCACCCTTATAGACTCAGATTCAGTCCAAATGATGGATATCAATGAACATCAACATTGACTTCTGTCTGCTCTGAAAAAGCCGCTATTTCATCATCTCGTGGTACAATTGTGAACAGTCAGGCTCGATTTCATAAATGCTTCTGCTATCTAACCAGCTTCTCTGACTTGTCTTTGTCTCTTTATATCTGCAGTTTCGGCTTTAAAATCTGTAGGGCTTTTTTGTTTGATGGTTGATGAATCTGTTGATAACTGTCTTGATTAATCAGTTAGTTGTTTGTCCTATAAAATGCCTAGAAAATGGTGAAAAATGTAGATCAGTGTTCCCCAAAGCCCAAGCTGACTTCTTCAAATGTCTTGTTTTGTCCACAAACCAAAGATATTCAGTTTCTTGTCAAAGAGAAGTGTACCAAATAGCCAAAGAAAACAGAAAATATTCACATTTATGAAGCTGGAATCAGAGAATTTTGACATTTTTTTCTTCCTCTTCCTCCTTTTTTTCTTCCTGTAATTCCTTTCCTCGTGTGTTTTTCTTTTGTTATTTTCCCTCCTATTCTTGTGTTTTTGTGGTTAGCAACTGTAGTTAGTGCCAAAATTTTCTGTCCACCTTCTTGTTAATATTTAAGGCTTTACATTAACACAAAACTTGTTTGCAGTACATCTTTTTACTGCATAAGGCAAAACAGTCTTGACATTGCCGCCATTAAAGCAGGCCTTAAATGCCCTTTACTCTGCATTAGCATCACTAATAATGACAAGGCTTTAACCACCAAACACTTTGTACCATTACACACTACAAGCAGCAGCAACATCCCCATCCCCATCAACAGGACGTTGAGTGACATTGGAAGAGACGGCTAGTCCAAGCGATAGCAACACACCAGGTCATGAAAAGAAGCCCACACAGCCAGGAAACAGGCAAATAAACTAGCATCATGATTCACTACCGACCAGGGCAGTGAGCGTAAAGAAAAACCCTGAGGACTTCAATCTCTGAAGACTTGCACAAAATGGAAAAATCCTATTTATAGTCTGACTCGTGCCCAAAAATGTCAGGACACAAATGTTTTTCCCTGACACTGCCGGAAGCAGAGCAACCAAGGGAGATGGAAATCATCTAATCGGAAAGAAGAGAAATAGAAAAAACCTGTACTTGAACACAATAGGTTCCTATTTGATTTTAATCAGACAAGAAAAGAATAATGTAAACTATTCTTCAACTGAATATGCCGTAGTGATATAACAGCAAAAGTGGATGAAAGTGTGACCTGATGTGAGTGTGTATGGATAGTGATTTGTTAGATGATACCCTGAGAGCCATGTTTTGTGTTTCAATAGAAAATGCAATTAGGTGATCCTTTAATTTGGTCTGTAGCCGTGGATTGGCATATCAGAAAGATGCTGTACCTGTGTGCACAGAATTATATAAGGAACACAGTATGTAAGTTTATGAAATAGTCTCAAAAATGTGAGAGAGTTAAAATAATACCCATCAATTAGGAAATATTTATTCCAAATTTATTATAGAACAATTGCAGCAACAGATGTAGCCCATAAACTCCCATTGACTCTTCTCCTTAAACTTTTTAAAAGGTCCGCTTAGCTTCCAAATTAGGATTTGGAGCAAAATCAACATAAATAAATTCTATGTATGGCATCAGAGATTGTTGTTATTTATTTATACGAGATCTGTTTTTTATCCAGAGTACATTGCCGGAATCATGACCAAAAAAGACAACAAATGGGGCCATTAAACTATTAGAGATTTAATCTGGACATCAGTGAAATCAAACATAGAAGGTCCTGGAGAGTCACCCGGAGGGGTATTTATGTCCCTCTGAGTGAAAAGCTATTTGACAAAGCACTGCCTGATCTAACTTAACCACTGGTTGTCAAATATTTATTCTCATGTATTTCCCAGCAGGGTTGTATTGATTTGTGCTCTTTTAGGAGTACCATCTTGCCATTGGCCGCGTCATCATTTTGTCAGCATATCAGATTCTGCCTAAAGTGGATACTGGCCATTATATAATTTCACTAATGCTAGCGTTTTGTTACCCAGAGGACTGTGCCACTTTACAGTCTGTGGTGTAATGAAAACAAAGTTCAGGCGACAACTGAATGCGCAAAAAGTCTGGGATGAAACATGGAGACAATGACAGCACATACTGTACTAGTAGGGCCAGTGTCAATTATGGATAGTTCATTCTGCTGGACACACACAAACACAATACACACACATGAACATACTCGCACATGCACACAATAGTAGAATACTTATGTTACTGTACTTATGATGGATTAAGCTAATTTGTTTGTCATTATCCTCTCTCATCACACTCACACACACACACACTGGTAGCTCAAGTCTTATGGTCTTATTGAAGAGGGCTGATGAGACAAAAAACTCTTGTTTTTACCTTTCATTCATTCTTTCTGATGTAATCCTCTAATTTGTTCTCTCTGGCCATCTTGAACCCTTTTCCTATCCAAGTATAAGGAGACACTTCTACTTAACTTCTCTGATAATAGATGCCTAATTGCCCGCTGTCTTTTCCTCCACCCCTCTTGCTCCTCTCTCTCTCTCCTCTCCCTGCTTCTGTATGTGTCTCTAGAAGTGTGACTGCCTGCTCAGCCTGGAAGCCTATTCAGCAGACCAGAAGCGCCGCGTGTGTCAGTGCCTGAAGGACAACATTGACAAGCAGCTCCAGCTTCACAGGAGGGAGGCTCGTGTTCCGCATTTTGAACAGGTATGACACATGGACACACACATCTGGGAGCATTTGCAGTTCTATTTGAGGCCATTGAGATGAATTAGTGAACACATGAACACATGAACGCATATATTCGTGCATACCCCCATCACAGATATCCCACGAAACAAACTTACAAGCATGCACACTCAGTCAGGAGCATGTAACAGTTTGCTGCAGCTCACACAACCGTCACTACAATTTTCCACTTAGCTCTTATGCTTCTTTAGGCTAGTTTAATGCTGCCTCTTATCAGGCTCGATTTAAATAGTTGCACTGCTATAGTGGAGTTTCAACTCCAGTAAAGTAGTAGTAGTAGTAGTTTACTGTTACTGCTCTTAACATATACTGAACTTGACAAAATCACAGCTGTGGTAAACTCTATTTGTTGTGATCATTTGAAACGCTAACCATACTACACTTGACTGAGTCCTGAGCACTGCGAGTACCAGGCGTTTTCTTGGTGTCCCACTTGACCTGTGGTATGGTGACAGCGGTGACACATACAAAAAAACTACATATTAAAATGAAATAAAACTTAAATTCATGAGTTTTTTCGTGATTTGAGGTTGGAAACGTCTTTTTCATTAACATATTTGTGTTTATTAGCTTCCATCCACCAGTACAAACTATTGGGCAGTTGTCATTTATGGCTACAGTTTTCTTTGAAAATAAATGTCCATGGAATTAGTGTTTTGGGATAAGGATATATTTTTGACCAAATAAGTTACCTGCTATCGCTGATTTTATTGCCACTTGCAGCAGAAACACAACAGTGACATATTATCCCCTTTTAAGTTGATTAGCATTCACCATTAACATTCAGTTGGAGTCATGTTTCAGTTCAGCTGACACATGTAAGTACAATATTCACTCTCCTTTTAGCTCTGTCTTTGGTCTTTACCAACTTCTTAGGGACATATGTGGCTCTCTAAATGCTCCTCTGTGTCTGCTGTTTGGTGCTGAGCAAATCTTTTGAGCTTCTTTGCTAAAAACAGCATCTTCCTGCTGCGCCCACAAACAACCCCATGTGAGTGAACTAAAACAGTAAATTTATTGGCCAGAAAATCAAATCAATGAGCTGAAAGGCACTGAATTACCTCCATAGAGCTGAGGAAAACTGCAGAGCTAGGTAATAATTCTCCGTGGGTTAGTCACTACCAGTGACCCCTTTCATATTCCAATTACTATACTATTGTTGTCATGTTATACTTTTTGGAAGCGTTGAATTGGATCAAATTGAGTGGAATAATAGAATCCTATGATGTGCAGAAAGTGAAGGTTTATTAATTTTTGCCCAGAAAATCGAGCTCAAATATAATCACTTTTGGATTAAGTGATTACACCCTTACTCGTAATGTAGCACAGTACAATGGTGGTGCAGGGTGCTGTTAAGGATGCACTGTAACTGATCTTTAAGTGCTCACTTGGCTTTGACCGCCCTGATTAAGAGGGTGCCTGCTGGGGGAGCTGTGAACGAGATTACCGTGGCCCAATTCGGTCATTTCAAGAGTTACCTAGGGAAATCTACTCAAAATTATTTTTTTCTTTTCTTGTCACGTTTTCTAATTGCTATTTAGGAAAACTGAAAACTGTGTGAGCGACTGTCTGACAAAACCTTTTGACCAAATAGATACATGTGCATTTAATTTGATAGATTTTAGCATATTATTCTTTTTTAATTTGATTTACACCATTCCCATTTCTTGCGTCTTTCATTTTTGATGAACAGCAGAGACAGCCCATTCACTTCATAAATTTAAAAGCTGTCCAACCCAGTTTGTTTGAGTTTTGCTGAAAGGTGATTAAAAGGGATAAATAGCCTTGTGCGGAGATGTCACACCTGTTGTACATTAGGGCTTCATTTCATCAGCACATGAAAGAGAGAAAGAGAGAGGGACAAGCCGACACTCTTTCATCCCTTTCTCTCACTACACGTGTGTCCATGTGTATGTGTGTGCCCATATGGTTCATCAGAAAAGATTCAGGATGAGACCTGATTAGCCAGAAGTGTAAATGACCCAGAATTTGTCCCGTATCTGAATACTCTCTAATATTTGAACTACTTTGTTAACTTCGTCCAACATGTCCAACAAGATTTAAAGATTTTAACACTGTATCAAAGAAACGGTGTTTGACTGCTACAGTGTTTTCTAGCAGGAGTGTCTGTACACATAACTGTAACGTTCCACAGCAACAGGATGGCCATTGTACATGTTGCTTTCCTTGCCTGTTTCCTCCCATGGCCCAGTGTTAGTTAGTTGCATCCAGCTAAATATGTGAACACATTTACACACACTGCAGTGGTCAATACGTTCAATAAAACAGCTTGGTACGCATGCTCAGTCATGTGAGTCAATGCCTTCTATTGACCAAACCAATGTATTGATCGGTATAGACATGTTAAAGAAACTGCCCTTCCAGTTTATATTAGCACTTAAGTTGTGCAATGATCATTGTAGGATATTCCCCTGGCCCACATGAAAAGGCCTTTTGTAACTGCAAAGTAATTATGCTTTTAAAGCTTCAGCTGTTTTCTTGTCAAAGGAAGCAAAATAAACCTTCTAGTGTGTCAACTGGGGTGATGAGTCTCACAGTTGGAGGTACCTGAGGGAGACCAATCTCTCTCTCTCTTTCAATTTCTCTCTCTGAGTATGTTCACACTAAATAAAACACAAATTTTTCTTTCACTTTGGCCCTCTGTTCACCACTGAAACTCATGCTTTTCAAAAAAGCACTCTCCAGAGTGCATAAATAAACACTTACCATGTGTTTTAATGTGGATGGGGAAAACGTCCATAAAACCTAAAATGACGTAAGCCTGCTCAGACACTCAGTTACTTTGTGGCAGTAACATTCAAGTAGAGAGAACAACTTTCTGTAGCCAACACACTCTGTGATCACTCCTTTTGAAGTCACAGTGAATCAGAAGTTAGAGTGTCTGAATCTTCTGTAAGGTGACATATTTTCGAGTAAAACAAACTATGCGGCATCTGTGGCGGGGGTTTAGTTATGAGGTGCGGTTTGGCTTAACGTATACAGTGCGATATGAAGTGGTAGAGAGATATGGAGCTGCAGAGGACTGTTGGCCTCCACCCACATCTCCCTTACCTGTTTTGTTAGATCCGGAGTCAGAGGAGGAGGCAAAAGCAAATAAGTTAGAACACACTCTTGTGGAGATGTAAGAAAAATCTTTACCCAATTAAATCTAAACAAACACCTCCTATGATATTGTTTAACTAGCTACTACAACCCACAAGCTAGCCCTTTCCTGAATGTCATCCCCTCTTTCCTCTATGTCTCTATCCTATCCACAACAAAGGCAAAAATGCCCCCCTTAAAAATATGTCAATATAGCTAATCTCACAACACAGCTTGTCACAAATGTATGTAATATTGTATAAGTAAGAACTAAAGAATTTTTTTTGGCATACAGCGACGTGATCATAAAATAATGATTTCATCTCAACGTTAGATGCCTCAATTTTGCTATTTGCTGGCCGAAAATAAGATGACAAACAGATTTAGCGGTTTTATAATTTCCTATGTTTCATGCGTTTCAGACGGACATGGCTTCAGGCACACACACACAATCATACACATGCCTATAGAAACAGAAATACATCATTACTCCTGCAAAACCTGATCGTACCACCTCAGTAAACTCATACATGCAGGTTTGCATCCATTTCCTGCCCGGTGGGATTATTACAGTACATTCTTTGTGCAGTTATTAGATCCTTTTACTGAAATATGTTATTAAATGGAAATCTGATTGGTGTCCTAAAGGCAAGAGAATGCCTGCTTAATCATAACATTTTACATCTTGACAAATTAGTTCACTTTTGATTGCATTTCTCCACAGTACCTTAGAGGCAAATAGTTTGTATTCAGTCAACTCCAAATGTGTTTAATTATATGCAAATCAGCTTTGTCAAGTACGGGAGAGATGAGAAGAATGCCCTTGAAGTTTCTTGCATGGGAGTCTTTAACAAATAAAGAGTCCTGTGTATTTTAATTGGCATCTAGGTAAGAATCCTTTGGGTCATTTCATATTGGCGAAAGAAAAGAGGACACATTCCCATAGACAGACATGTTTAGACACATATGGGTCCTATCTGTTGTGATGGTGTGGTGTGGGGACAGAGAGGACCCAAACGCAACGCTCAGAGGGAAGGAGGTTTATTGAGGGAAAAAGTGGTTGAGGGACTGGAGTGGAGGGAGAGGTGGATGCCGGGGAAACACAGGCACGGGGAACCGAGGAGACTGAGGCCAGAGTGCCGGGGGACACTGGGGCCGAGGAAGAGAGGAGGCACGGGAGAACTGGGAGGACGCCGTGGGGGAAGTCCGAAGAGGAGAGGACCGGAGGATGAGCCCAGCCGACAGAACGGAGGACGAGGGCGAGTGAACCTGGGAGGGAAACAGACAGAAAGACAGGGTTAATGACACTGTGGGGACAAAGCACAGGGAAATAAACAAGATGCTGAATGAGTGCGAAAGCTTGAGAGGTCAAGTGGCACTGGGTTTGGAGCAACAACGATCAAGCAGAGGTAGCGTGGAGAACCGGGGTTGAAGTACTGGCAGAGGTGGAGTTGATTGCTGGCAGGTGTGGCAGGTAGGGGAGGAGGTTAACGAGATGCAGGTGCGGGTCGTTGGCTGGGCTCAGGAGCGGAGGGAGAGAGAGAGAGAGAGCACACACAGGGGAGGAGACACAGGGAGGCAGGCACAGAACAGGGAAAACAGAATCACAGACAAAAAAAGGAGAAATAACCAGGACATTCACCGTCAGCCGGGCTGCCACCACATCACCTATCCATCCACAGACGACCACTGGTATTAAATGAACACATAAAAACATAACATCAAAATCCTGTGACCGCAGGATAAATACAATGATAAACATGTGCACCTTCATTCAGCACAGACCAAACAGTCCAAAAAACTCAGGGAACCTTCCTGTAATTTGACATGGAAGGATATTCCTTTGCTCTTCCTAT